GGGAATTATTGGCATCGAGGAAGGGACGAGAATGATTGATAAAATAATTGAAAATTTATATCTGAGTAATGTACAAGATGTTCTGGATGAATCTAGGGTTGATCGACTTAAAAATGAATTAAAGGTTTTCAATTTTCCTTATCCTATAAATTTGTTCATTTTAAATTTCACAAAGTTTTTCTGTTTGCAAAATTGAATTTTTCTTTTTGTTGGTCTTTCCAAATTAAAAAGTTCCTTCTATAATTTTGGAGGAAATACTTCCACAACTTTTGCATATAATTCCTTCACACTTCCTAAAGATTATAATACTAACAATTTTTGAATTTCAAAATCTTTCGGTAAATGTTGTGTTTCAGATCACCCATGTTCTTACGGTAACAGCAGAAAGTATTCCGGTGGAAAAGCAAATTGTTGGGATATCTTATAGGTTTATTTTTGCTCTGGATATGGATACACAAGATATGTTCGCGGGAGATTTGTTAGGTACCCTCTTTGAACATTCATTTCATTTCCGGAAAATTTGAGTACAGAAGGCCTGGAAGCTATTCCGTATTTTGAAATGCTTTCCCTCTCCTTTCTCTTCCTCTCCTGCTTGTTTCTCTTTGTTTTGGATGTCTCTATATTAAAGTGAAATATTTGAAGTTAATAACGTATAAAATGTCCAATATGATAGGCAGTTTACGTGTACGTTTGCGTTACCTAACGTCGATCTGATGTGTTATAGCGAATGCGCTAATGTACATCAGAACAAGTATTGAGAATAATGGACGAATCCTTGTACATTGGTACGTTTAGACTCAATTACTGAGTAATATAACTTATTGATCTATTTGTCTCTTCCCTGCTATTTTCATTCTTAATGTTGCATTTGAGCTTTAATTTTCGTTTATACAAGACTAGCAGCATAAAGTCCTTTTTTTATACAAGATTAGCAGCATAAAGTTTAAGTGGAATCAGCCACGAACAATTCAACCAGTGAGACGTACCTTATGTTAGCTTTGTTTGTTACTTATCTCTTTGGTAATGAATTTTTATTACAGGCGTCCATGACCAACCTTTTTTAGCTTATAGTTAATCATGATTGCGCTGCAATAAAAGACCGGATAGTCAAAAAGATAAGTAACACTAAGTAATTTGTAATAAAAACTATTGGCAAAAGTAATTTATAAATCACAAGGGAGTGTGGATGAAGGAATATTGTTTAATTAAGCTTCATTTTTTTCTTCAGGTTAAGTCGTAGACATAATATTATGTTATGAGTAATGTGAAATGACTAAATAATGTGTAATGTAGAATTTACCTTAAAGACAGAGCTTTTCAGTGAAGCTGGTGTATCACGTTCAGTGTTTGTTGTTGCTGCTTATCTAATGCAAAAATTGCAATGGTCATCGTCAAAAGCTATTGAATACATACAAAGGATACGACCAATAGCGTTGTAAGTCGTCTTTTAGTACCTTCTAATAATTCGTTTCGTTTCGTTAAATTTTGTGAATCATCTGTGCTTGAGCTAACAGACTTCTTTTGAAATCCAATGTAATTATAACAAGAATTCGTTAGTCGTACATTGTATAGGTGCAATTTTTACTTAACCAGATCTGTTTGTTCTCTAACAGGAGGAATTTCTTTTCAAAAATTCAAACAGTTCTGAGTTTTATCGTTGAATGAAACTGAAAATTATGGAAAGATATATTGTAATCTAGACCAAATGATGGTTTCGTGCAACAGTTGCAAATATTCGAAAGTTGTCATTTTGTCGCCGATATTCAAGTTATTTCGCAATGTCCATTATACAGAAACTGGTTATTGAATATCTCTTCAGCCAATGGTATTACCAACTTAATAGCTTAATTGTCTATAACTTTTCCGTAAGGACCGTGCATATGTAATGAACGGTCACATTGCAATATTAAATGAAATCCAATGATTCAATGACAACTGTAATGTACTAAACATATATTCTAACTGATTCCCACATCTAGAATCCAGAATATTAAAGGTAGAGAGCTTCACAGTTGGATGGAACGTTTAACATCCTTGTATGAAGTACATGTTTGTAATAAGTCCAGAGGTTTTGTATAGTAAACACACTTAACACAAACTGACAGACTGTTTAGCATCATTTGCAAAATTTCCTGTGGACAAAAAGTCGTCAGACTCGATCGATTCCACAAATATTGAATATCGATGTCGTAAATGTAGGAAAATTTTATTTAACGATAAGCATATCATGAGACATGGAGTATTGACACCTAGCAGTGTTACTGGCGATGGAGCAACGGAAACAACGGATTGCAGTTTCGGTTATTTTATTTCACCTATGGAGTGGATGTCTTTGCGTGAACATCGAGGAAAAGTAAGCTTTCTCATTTTTAGGGTCAAGAAGTGATTTGGCTTGGAAGAGAATGTTTTCTTTGGTGTGAAAAGGGGTTTCTCGTTTGCTTCTTTTTTTTTTTAACTTGATTTTCTTTGCAAATTTTTATTAAGCTAGTCGTATGTCCTAATAAATTTGAAAAGTTTTTAAAAATAATTTTCAGATTTCTTGTTCATGCAACGAAAAGCTTGGTCATTATGACTGGGGAGGACGTGTGTGCGAAGGAATGATTGGCAGACCATGCGGAACAGCCGGCAAGTTACATCTTAAACATTCGCAGTAAAACTAAGAATTCTGGATTGAACATAAGACAAATCTACCGTCAATCCTTAGTTATTTCAAAATATTTTTCATTTTAAAAGTGCTAACAAAAAAAAAAAAAACGGAAAATGAGTAGTACTCACATTCTCCTTCTTCGTCAGTGTATCAGCTGCTGCTGGATACATTATAATATGCGATGGAACTTAATTCCCTTTGGTAGAAGTTTACTGCTGCAAAGTAATACAAGCTTTTTTTGTATCCACATTAGAAAAAAGCAGAATTTTATAAGGTCGAGTAAAGGTTAACAATTAAAGGGATCTAATTCAAAGGGAAATGTAACTTTGCATTAACAATTTCTTCAAGTATGAACTTCGAAATTCCCAAGTTCTCTGCAGGTTTCATATATGTGTTGCAGTGCGGCCATGGATTTACGTAAATCAGAACAAGGTCGATCGAATTGTAAAGATGGATCAGAATATGCTAAACCCTATAGACACTATCATTATAAGGCCACCGAAACTTCCTCGTATGTAGAACACATCCAACTTGGTGTGATCGCGAAGTTCTATGAGTCGTAAAAAAGTTCTATGAAATGCATTATACTTAGCTAAAGGAACCCATTATGAAGCAGCGACAGTACAAGCTGTGATCCATTTTTAATTAGTTGTATGTTGAGAACTATTTTTTTTGGAAGGTACATCCCAATTTTACACATTGCTCCTTATTTTATAAAGAATCTGTAAACTTGAAAAATGCCTAAAAATTATAAAAAATCTAGAAATTATAAAAACCTAAGAATTAAAAGATTTTCATGAATTATAAATTACAAATCAAACCAAGAAATAAGAATCACATGAAATTCATGAAATAAACTGGAAATGAGAAATACTGGTTAAGAAAGGGAAAGCGTTTTATCTAAGCCTTCCTTTCCATCTCGATGAGCTGTTTCACACCATCATGCATCTGTTTCACAGCCTCAAATTCCGTCAATCCAAGACGAGCTTTATTTGAGATGTCGTAAACACCATCTGCTGATTCGGAATGTTCTCCATGTATACCACGTATCTTAAAAATATATTATACTTAGCATGGAAGCTCGCCAAGACGTTAATAAGCAAGATGGATTGGAATATATAACCAGATTAATCGATATATCCTGTTAGCACTAGTTAGTTGAGAAAGAAGTACTAAATTTACTTGGTCTTTTACGAGGAATGAAGTCATGTTGTAAAGTGAAATATGAAGGGTTGGAATAGAGAGTAAAATTTGAATGAATGTTCTTTGTTGCCCCATCTCGAGTGCTTCGGAGTATATTAAAATGTATCGTGCAGAAAAAAAAAAAATCAAGATTTTTTTTTTTTCGAATCAAGATTTTGACAGGTTAATTTTGTGGTAAGGAGGAGCAGTAAAACAAAAGTTGACAAAAGTTGCGCACTTGAAGTTTCAGTCCATCACATATCTTCTTGAAATCCGGCTTTGCACTAATCTTTGGAAGACGTATGTGTACCGATGCACGTATCGTAGTACCCAAATTTGTTGGGCAGAAAGTAAGCCAACCGAGACGTGAGTCTCTGGAGAACGGTAAACTTTTCTCAATGGTCTTCAAACCTTTAATGAGTCGTTCCAATACCTGCAAAAATCCGTAATTCTATTACCGCAACTAAACTCAAAATGGAAAAGGTCAAAACTAAGTTAAAGATGCAAATGACTTCACTTACGTACAAGAGAAATTTGACATTAATGTTTGTGAATTTGGGATTTGACCAAATAACATTTAATGCATTGTAGTTGGGAAGTAAGCATCAGTAATCATTATATCTGATGATTTGGCGATTGCATATTGTATATTTGATATAACCATATGTAGGATGTGTTAAAAGCAAGTCGTTGTAATGGCTCTCAGGAAAATCCATTCCACCGATTTAACTTCCTTTCGTCAGTTTGTTAGAAGCATTACTTACTTGTCCAACATTACCACCCTTTTGCATGGATATTATGCGTAGATGATCCTCCTCATTGATCCATATCAGGAAAGTTTTGCTTTCATTGTGGTAAATACCTCTCCCAGTTGGCCAGTATCGGCAGGCATTTGCAGCTTGCAAGAACCTGGAATCTTTCTGTTGAACGGATGGCTAAGATAAATAGGGAGCGGGAGGAAAAGGAAGACAAAGGACTGAATGTAAGAGGGGAAGGAAAACGAAGGACTGAATTAAGCATATCAACATGACTTCAATAGAAAGCTTGCTGATCAAAATTTTATCCTAACTTGATGTTCCAAAGAGACGGAGGAACTGATTTTCCGGAATGCATGACTGTCAGCGAGTATAAATTTACTAATGTCCAGTTCAAAGTTACTAGTACCTGTCACCTTCTTTGAACAAAAAGTGATCTTCAATAAGTTGTTTTTGAATATCTTTTGTCATTCCAGCCAACGGATAATACGTCCCTTTCAATTCTGGATCGGAGAATCCGCATAGAACCTTTTTGATCTGCAGTTGTGATTTTTAGAACTATTTTCCAGAAGTGATGAGCTTATTTAAAAATATAGAATTCAAAAATTTCGACTAAATGCTAACGGCAACAACTTACTTTATTTTCCATTTCTTTGTAGTTTTCTTCCGTAAGACAAGGATTGAAAGGGTAACCTTGAAGAGAACGTCCACAGCGTACTCTTGTTGAGTTGATGTATTGTCCTTCCGGATCCAAATCAGCGAGCAAATTTATTTTGTCTGTACAGAAACGTTTCTTAATGATTATCTCGCCTTACATCAATGTGCTACTTGACATTATAAAATGTATATCACTTCATTTTTAAGTTTGAAGCAAAAGAAAATCTACCCTCGCCAAGGTCGGTTTCCGGTTGTTTCTGATTTGATCCGAAGCCATTATGATATTCCTCAATGATTGGATCGAACAGTGGTTTAAACAGAGTGTATGAATCAGCATCTGGTGCATACACGCCTACACCAGAATCAAGATTCGCTACACCTGTATTACAGGAACAGTGAAATGTTTAATTTGAAAACTATTCAGTAATGTGAAGTATTCCTTCTTTATACTGTTAATAATCAAATACTTCTTTCCTTTTCTTCCTTTATAATAATCAATAAATCTTTCAATTAGTGTTCAATATATTTGTCAAATGAACATTTATTCATATAGGATAATAGCTAGCAATCCCATAATTTTTACGATATCTGTAAACATTCATTCAGAAGCAAAAGAAAGCATTACCAGAAAGATAATCATATGGAATTGTAATTTAATAAAGTATAACCTATATTATGTTGGTTACGGTGCTAACCATTACCATCATCCACGCAAGTTTTCACAGAAATGATCAAAACTCAAAATCAGAATCCACTGTTGCTCATGAATAATCCAAACTAATCCGTTCATGATATGCTGTATTTTCTAACAAGGAATGTCTTTTTTTTTCCAATTTTCTTACATCCATACACTTATTGAGCAATAAACAATAAAATGAGAAACTGACCGGACTGTATAACATCCAGAAGTGTTGCACCAAGTTTTGTCCTTTTATCTTTCAATTGATCAACGATAGCTTTTGATAAATGCTTCTTGAGCAGAGAATGGCAATCTTTTGCTTCCTGAAACCACTGACAATTTGCCGAAATTAATGTCATACCACATTAACCGCAAATAGTTAATAAGGAATAGTTAAATTCCTGATTTTCAACGAAAATTTTCTGACATCTAAAGATTTAAACAATTAGGTAAAGATTTATCGAAACACCTGATCATTTGTATCCATTACAAACTAACTTTTAATATTTCATCTTACGTCATCTGTTTTTATAACAATCACTTTCATGACTGCTTTCAGTGTTATCATCTTGGCGATATTTAGAATTATGAGTAACATTTAAATTATAATTAGCGTGAGAGTTCTATACTACACTGGCCAACAAATACACAACAAAATCACCCAAGCTTAGAGTATCACAACGATTCGTTTTGCAATGTTCGAGTTCAAATATTTCAAATGTCAATTGATAAATAATTATTTACCGTCTGAGTAAACGATGAAAATTAATTATGCTAAAGATAACGTTCAAACCTGTAATTTGCTGAAGCTTTCTTCGATTTTAGCAACAACATCCACATGTGCCATAATTCCAACTGCAAAAAAGAAAAAGCATTTTGTCATTAAGTATTGCCCAATTTCAAATGTAAATGTTTGAAATCTAAAGAATTTCATCATGATAGCAATCTTATTTGAAGAATGGTTGCGAATTTGTGGGCTGGAGCAAAAATTAAACTCAAAATTTCCAGAAAGCGTTAAATGAACCTGAACATTCTGTGACAGAAGGATAAACATGAAGTTTTCCACACCCTACAATCGGAACTATCCCGTTCTCTCCAATTATTGATGTTTAAAACAATTTGAAAATATTTATGCTAATAAAAAAGAACCGAAATAACTGGTCTACATATCTTCAGGTCAATGAAAAGAAACTAAAATGACTGGCTCTTCGCGTATCTGTTATACAGCTCCTTAGAATACTTATCTCTGTTAATTTGTCAGCTTTAGAAGTTTTGAAACTACCACTGCTTTTATAATTCTTTCTTCCTCGATCTCAATAAACACTTCTATTTAGTATGGTATTGTTAAGGTTCCCTTGCTGAGAAAATACAGCTTCAATATCACTGCATTATAAGCAATTTCTGATAAGAAAGCTATTTCCAGAAGTCACAGTTGTGCCTATCCAACATAATGTTTGATAAAGGTAAGAATTGCTCCTGACCTTATAGAAATACGGAAATGATTTCCTGATGTAAATATTGGTAATGCAAGAATAAAGAATTCAAGAATTTACAATGTTATAACCTCAAGTTTGAGCTTTTTTATTCCAAGCTAGAAAAAACGTTTCGAACCTTTTCGAGTAATTCAAGCGCTATCAAGAATCAGATATTCTGTGTAGTCAAAGATTTTAGTATTTTTTCCTTACAAACAACTGATGAGAAAAAAAAGAAGATAAATCTGGTTTATGCAATAATAACTACTTCATAATGGGAAAAAATCCTTATCCATATTTTAAAATTGTTAACCTACCATAACCTCGTTTATCATTTAGAGTAGTTGCAGATATACGCAAGAAGTGTAGTATGACCACACTAACGTACGATTACATTATCTTCGAGATAATGTTATAATGAATAATACAATGGCTCTTGCAGTGATTTTCAACTGAATTTTTCTACAGAATTTTACTCTAATTAAATAACTGAAATGAAAAGCTAATTACTATGCTTGCTAAACCAAATTAGCGAAAAAGTATGGGAAGTTAACATTGTAAAATCAATCAATAAAATTTTCCAATTTGCAGATTTATAGAAAGTATTTGTTGTGAAAAAAAAAAAAAAAACAATTATTCATTATATACATAATTGAAGAACATTGGAAAAATAATAGTTAACCGGTTAATGGTATCCATAAAACATTCAAGATGCGAATAAATGCTCTTTCTTAAATTTATTCAAATGTAACAGAAAAATTTCCTTTTTTCCCATCCAATCACATTTCGAAAGAATTTGTTACAGGAACAACTCTCGTATAGTTCATCGAAATCTTACTAATTATAATAATAATAATTATTATAATTACAATTATTTTATTATTATTATCAATAATTAATAACAATTAATAATAATTAATAATAATAATAATAATAGTAATAATAATTAATAATAATAGTAATAGTAATAATAATAATGATAATAATGAATAATAATAATAATAAATAATAATAGTAATAATAA